TTTATCTTCAGAGTCGTAATGAGCACTGTTGGTTCCATGGAGATGAATGATCATTAAATGGATTAAATCGCTCATCTCTCTGTTCCCAGTAACCTCAACCCTTCGACGTTTCTTTCACGTGCTTCCGATGTGATGATCATGCGCAGCAAAGATGCCTTACCCGTAGCATCGTGCCTGCAGAACCTGTGGTTCCTAGATAGACTGACTGCTTCTGCTAGCCCATTATCAGCGAATGTCAAAATGACACGCCATTGAGTCATCTGAGCTCTTTTATTGCCTTTCTCACCTCATAAGGAGTAAAACGGGTCATTGTTCGATTTCTAATAACCGTGTCGAAGCTGGGCAGTTTCGCCTCACGAAGTTCATAGATTCACTACTAAAATCAAAACAGCGTTTCAAGGATACCCTTTCACTCAGTGTATATGCATAGAAGGCGATTTTTTGACCATGGACAATTTTAAATTTGTTTACGTGTAATTCAAATTAATCTTCCACTATGCTAACATGACCTGTCAATGAATCATGTCTTTATGTTGTGCAGCAGGCTTATCTGAGTATATAATGAATAGTTGCATGACAAAACGCATCAAGCAATGGAAAAGGACTTTGCTTTAATATTTATTTTCGTTCCAACTTATTTCTGCACTAAGATGACAGCAACCTAGCTGCCTGATTGACTAGATATTTCAGAAGAGGTCTCCAAGTTACTCAAATGATTCAACCTTGGCAATCCCCGTAATGAGATGTTTTATTCCTAATTATTTAATCGATCCAATCTCAACGTCCCCGCTGTCAAGAGCAGGCAGAAAGTAAATCAGAGATCGAATTACCGTGTGAAGTTTAGCTTAATAATTATTAACGCGTTTTGTATACCTCCTAACGGTCGGTCGAATGAAAAGGACACCTCTATTGTAAATTTTATGGAGCAATCAGAAACGACCTCTGCCTGATAAGAACGATTCGTTGGGCCTCGTGTTTCTTGAAACACACAATGACCAAACAAAGACAGGAGAAGGCTGGGTTCTATCAAAACATGAAAATAAATTGAATTCGTTTCCTCTGATCGTCAGCTGCGGCATGAAAACAACGAAAGATTCAAATAGCGGTTGACGGGTGGTATCAAAAGATGGAAATGGTAAAGAAAATGCATGTCTTGAACCATCAGTCACCATTAATGTGATGGCCACGCTAATCGAAGCCTAACAACTGTTAAGGCTTCCTTTGTTCTGCTCTTAACAGAATGGACCACGGAACATTCCATGAATTTCTCTCTCTATGCATTCGTTTTCAGATTTGTACGAGCAGCGGCCTTCATGCTGTACTTCAGCAAGGAAAAGAACTGCTCTGCGACATGCAACAAACTTGTTGTCTATTGATATACAGGTGGCCGAAAAAATAGCACATAAGGACGATGGCGTGATTTTATAATTTTGGGGAGCAAAGTTAGGGCGAATGTTAAAATATCTTCCGATTTATTTGCCAGTGTTTCCAGTTATCTCTCTCAAAGCAAAACCAATAGCAATAGTAAAATAGTAGAACGATTTTTTTGATGTATGATTAGGAAACCCAAGCGTCAATCACAGATGGAAAATTGTCAACATAATCAGGATTGAAATGGTAGGCAAATAAACACCTGGTTCCTTCTACAAAATATTCCTTGTCATTACAGAAAATCAGCCATGAGCAGCTACGACATCGTCGATCCAGGAGACCAATCTAAGAATAGAGTAGACTCACAGGACAGTATTTACCGCTTTCTGGATCCTTAACCTCGCGAGGCAAAACCCTGAAGAAGCAGAAGGCACCATTCTGAAATTTAGGACGTCTGACACTGAGTCAAGGATAGGGTTAACCAAGAGCATATCATGTAAGTTATCTCACAAGGAAAAGCTTTTTAGGATGCTGCGTGACCAGTTGTCAAAAGACATGCCAAGGACCAGATGGCTCGAATCTTTTGAACGTTTGACCTTGTCATACCTTGAAACCCCGCCGTTAGAACTAGCGCCATTTGTAAACGGTAGAAAACTACCTGAATTGAGCAGAATAGCAAAAATAGCTAGCCGTAAAGATCGATGCATTTCATGACGAAATAAATCACCGCTGGAACACAAAAAATTTCAATAATAACTTAGAAAAATAACTAACTTCGTGATAATGCATTTGGAAATCAAATAATGTGAATGCAGGCATTAGTATAGATGTTACATCAGTTTTTTATGGATAAAAGTGTTCGAAGAAGACGAACCTGACTTCAATAATCACCCTCCTCCTCATGTTGGACATCACGGTTCTCAACTTTAGAATGTTACGCATTTTAAATTACTTTGCAACCGGCTGGCTTTAAAATAGTACAAATTACGGAAAGATAGAAACAAATAAGTGAACCACAGACATATTTCATTGAGAACAATGCTCGCTGTGCCGATGCAAGGGACGAGTACTGAGCAACTGCCCTGTGCATAACTCATATGGTGCATATTTTCCTGCTGGATGACGTCCATACCTTACATTAAGGAGTTATTGTCTTGACTGGAAGAAACCTGATTCGCGTATGCTTGCATTCGACTTTCAACGCAGTTTAGGGCAAAAAGCAGAAAAGTCAAGAAGCGAAAGGAAGCAGATAAACTTCAATAAATCATCCTATACGTTGCAGTGCCATGATCGAGCAAGGAATTGTCATCGTTTGGTGCCGCACGGTGAAACAGCGCTGGAAAAACTCCTGGGCATGGAGCAGTTGGCCTCGTTGGGGAGGGATCCAAAGCGAGCAACAATCGAAGCCTTTGGCCTAAGAGTCACGAACCGTTCTAATGTTTTTGCTCATTCCTAATGACGACTGCTAAATAGCCAATTTCCTGCTAGGATGGAGGGGAAGCTTTGGGATCGAGTGCGGTGTATGCGCAACTGCCGCGCTGCATCTCGGGTTTTGGGTCGTTTACATGCATCAGCAAATCCGCGGCCGAAAACAAAAACAGACCTCAACGAAAGACAGTGAGGTTAATTTCTGGACTCTGGCAACCACTGTGATCAAGCGAGAAATGAGACTAGCGCTCGAATTTCAAGTATGGTGATTAAGCATTATACCGGCGCTGTGGTAGATAGCGATTTCGTCGATGATGCGAACAAGGGGGATGGGGCAGTTGTTCTGTGTACCGAAATTTCTGCTATGAAGGAAACGAGGTTAGTGAGCATGGTTATGCAATAAATTACTTATATATACCCCTATAGTAGGGATGCCTGCTTGTGACGCATTGTCCTGATCGGGTGCCGCTGGAAGCTCTTTTACTCTTGGAGCATGCCATAGGCCAGGAGAGCCATATGTTTTCCAAAGACAGCGTCTACCGCTTGGTTGCTCTGTAGCGCATATCCGTGATGTAATGCTTCCATTCCACATTGTCGAGTTTGTGCACTTCCCTTGGAAAGATCAGAGGAACAGTGATCTGGTCGTGATGTGAATCAGTTATTACTCGATCGCGAATTTGACTAACTGAGCAATCTAACAGTGTGGTGGAGATTTGAAGCTTATATGTCAAACAATGACCACCTGATGAAGACAAGTGAGCCTTTGTTCATCACTTGATAGAGTAAAACCGGATTTCAAGGCTAAGATTAGATTCACTAAAGAAACCAGGTACCATCCAGTTAAGTACACTGCATTGTGTACTTCAAGGGCAAAAATCAATATCAACATACGAGCACTTAATCTTATGACAAGCACTTGTGACTAGAGCAGAATATTGATCAAACCGGAAAAATGATGCGAGATGTACCTATCATTGTAAACGTTCAGGCACTCCTCAGGTGCCTTGCTTAGTCAGCCACCCAGACAACTAAAAGCAAGGAAATTGTGAAGCGGATCGCGAAATGTAATTTTCTCGATCAGCTATGAACCTAAGAACGA